GCTGCAAGTTGAATTCAGCCCTGTAACCTCCTGCATAGAAGATAATATTAATTAGTGGGCTATGAGCTAAATTCCTAAATTTAAACAAACCTCTATGATGCATTATGTACCAGCAATGTTACCTACGATTAACTGAATATGTAATATGTCTAATAAATTCACCTACAAAAGCAAGTTCGATAAGTGCAAACTTTGTGTTATGAAATTGTATCGCAGCACAGTTTTGTATGACACCCTCTTTAAATGAAATTTCAATGATTAAGCGCAAACATTAAAATTACTAACTTTGAACTTTGTCATTATCTGCAAAATGTTCCACACAAATCTTTCCGCTATCGCGTTTGTAATCTTCTCTGATAAAAAAAAACGTCTATGATGTCCAGAATTGCTCTTTACAGCTTGCCTGTTATTCCAGCTTTCCAAGTAAGCAAAACTTAGATATAGAGATTATTTTGTTTCGTTACAGGCGCAAAAAGGCAGGTACTACACGTAAAAAAGACGCCGAGTAGCAAAAGCGAGCGGAAAACGGACGCGAAAGGCGACGAGAAATATGTGCATTGGAGCGTATCATGAAATACAATGTTTTGCCTGTAGTCTTATGGAGTGACGTCAGAGTTGCCTATCATGTTGTTTAATGTCATTGGTTACAGCTTGCTGCGCAATTAAGTCCATGCATCTGAAACCAATAACTGGCAAACGAGAATATTGGTCGGAGATCGAAGACTTATCGATCGAAACTGCGGTTTCGATTCATGACTCTATAGTGACACCGCGTGTCTCAACACTAATTAATTATCAACTCGCTAATTATACGACATAATTCATCCAAAATCAATAGGCTTCTGGTCCGAGATATGATGAATGCACATGCAAAATTTGGAGCAGATTCAACCACGACTTCGTGAGATATCGCGTGCATCTAACAGACAAATATCTATCAACATACTTGCCGATCTAAAGATCGATAAGTAACAATGCTAGACGCAAGATCTAGGACTGGTAAACGGACGGGAGGTCATGGTCCAACCGGCTTTTTCTCCTCGAGATAAATATGTAAAACCTATTCAAATTGGGATGACATGTCAAATATTTTGAACTGCGCTGAGATTTAGGGCTTGAAACCAGATATACTCTCGAAACACAAGCCATTTGTATTCTTTGATATCATATATATTTTAAAGAGCATGTTCCAACATGATCGACTTATTCGGGAAGAACCATTTGACAAATTGCCTTTGCAGCCACTTTTCTGCTGAAAGTGTGGCCGAGGTCAGATACAGATAACACAAAATTAAAACTATCAAATTCTTTATCAAACTTGGAAATTTTGAAAGTGCCATCACTAGCCATAGCAGCCAGTTCTGTGACCATGGTTAATGGCATCAGCTGCAAAACAGCTTGAGAAACCAATTCGCCACACAGTGATGCCAGATATACGAAGTAAACTGCAAAGTCAATATGAGGACCGGGTTGTCGTTCAGCAAGCGACATATTCATAATATCTAATGCGTAACTAAGTGCTCTCAATACTGGTTCTCTTACATGAGAATGCTTAGACTGAGCTGTGGCAGAATTTTCGCGGCCAAGTATAGATGAAAACGCACTTGCTGCCAAATCATGCTCTGCAGTCGAACTGAAAAGTCTTCGCAACTTAGTGGGTCCGACTTCATCTTGGAAATGTACTTGATGAGAAGCCAATGACTCTTTTCCAGACATTAGAAGTTGATGCGATAGCTTTTCTTTTGCTGTTTTTTGTGAAAGGCAAGCTTTTTGTTGTAAAGATATATTATGAAGAACTATAGCAAGACAGCTAACAGCAAGCTGTGCTAAAACATTTCCTGCAGGAGCAGAGAGAATCATGTGATCAGCTTCATCAGTCAAATAGTGCGGAATTTCGTGTCTTAACAAGCAAATGACAAAACTCTCAACATCTAACAAAAATATTCCACCCACAACAGTAGCTGTTCGTTCAACAATATCTTTGCGAGTTTGCGACAACAACTGTGAAACAAGTTGATGGCAAAACCATTTGGCACCGGACCGCTTCAAAACAGCTTCAAGTCGACAGAGCATATTTCTTCCTATCCAGCCTGTCTCTCTGCACTCTGTTATTAAATCGGAAAGAACATCAGCTGGAAATTTCACAGGCTCGTTATCCTGTGCACCAGGTAGGTTTGAATTTGGCATCAACACTTCCAATATACCTTTAAACATGTTTGTACGTTTTGCTGCATGTATTTCTTGACCGGGTGGCGATATAAATCCATGCGTTGAAAGTTTTTCAACGACTTCTTTCAATTCCTTCCAGAATAGTTTTGGAACGGTTGAAGCATATTTGGCTACTTCAACAAGACAAGTCAGTCTGATAGACAATGATAATATATTACATATGACATCACAGGCACCTAACACATCTGCTTTGCTCACAACTTTGTACTGCCATGCCTTTACCAATTCAATGAATGCTCTTGGCAAATTGGTGCACATCTCATGCCATTTTTTTATACTGCACGATTGTTCTTGAGTTCGTTCCCTTTTGTTTTGTAACAATTCAAGATACATTTTAATACGAGAGTCATCAACATCAAGTTCGCTTTTATTATTTCTCAATATTTGACCTCTATCATCAGGCCAGTAAACAGATATCCAGTTGTATAGAAAGTATTTACTAGAATCCATGTCTGCCATAGATCCTAAAACAACGTTTTTTCCATACTGTTCAGCAATTTGGCAGACTAGAAAATGCGTAAAATCAAAAAGAAGACATCTCATTTGTGCACTTTTACCGCCTTCGGCAGTGCTGGATTTCACAACATCATTAAACAATATTAATTTTTTAGCAAACTTTTGTACATTGTGTGTGATTGAGCCACTTGCCAAGATAATATTAAAGTTACTTGACATTTGACTCAATGTAGCAAGCAAATTTTCTTGTTTAGAAATATAATCAGCAGAAGTGTCTATGACTGAAAGTAACTGACGGGCAGTTGCCTCGTATTTTATCAATTTGCTCGGTTCTACTGCGTGTGTTGGATGCTGTGATGAAACTTTAGCCATGCTGCTTCTTCTTGCTTTCAGCTCTGTCGCAGCGTCTTCTTTTAAAATGCCGAAAGATAGGCAACGATCAATTAGCCAACTTAGGCAATCACAATTTCCAGTAATTTGGTCTAACACATCTAGAAGACTGTCATATTGCAGTAGTTCTGAAAAAGCACTTGCTGTCGCATCTTCAAAATCTGTTTCTAATGACAGCTTTTTAAAATCTGAACCATTTCCTGACACAATGGCAGATTTAAGTCTTTTAAGATGTTGGGGAAGTGAAAGAAAAAGCACAGATGACCATTTGTGTTTCCTGTCCCCATCAATGCTTCCTAAGAATCCCATCATGCAGGCTCGTATCAAGTCCAGACACAGTTCTGAAACATTGAGATCACAAAGTTGAGAGAGCAACAGCAATTGTTGAATTAAAGTATCAGGATCAGTCATTTTATTCCATTCACCTTCTAGGAGGATAAACATATTCACCAACATGCCATGATGAGATTCATTTCCTTGTATTTTTGGCAAACAGAATACTGCAGATGTTTTTGTATTACAGCGAGCAAGTTGGGATACACTATTACATGATACATTAACATCATTTTGCATGTTATGTCCAACAGCAGCATTTTTAATTACAGCGAGATCAGTTTCAATATGGCTCCAAACACTGCTCTCCTCAAATCTTGCAATAGTCAGAAGAGATGCAGTTCTCGGTAATGTAGTTAAGGAATGCAAAGTTGAGCAGTTTTTCTGAATTTGCAAATTCTCAGCTTCAACTCCAGAAGTTCCTGAACCCCTTTTTAAATATTGTTCAATATTTCTCAAAAGCCATTGCAAAATCACAAGCAAAGCTTTGCACAGGCCCATGCTGTCTTCTAAAATTTGTCCCTTGTTTAGTTTTTCTATATATTTCATGAGTATATTCAAAGTATAATCCATGCTAGCAGTGTTTTGAAGATCCTCATGTTTAGAAATGGCAGTCAATATAGCTGCATAAGACAAAGTCCCCGATTTGAGTCCGTAATTAAAATAACTAAGAAGAACTGTATTAGGTGTGCTTCCGATGAATGCTTGAGAGAAGAGAACGTCAGCCATATGAAACATGTCAACAGCATTCCCTGGCTGTAGTAATTTTCTCATTGTTGAAGTCCATTTCTGTTCACTCCATCTTTCTTTCCAAGCATTGAGAACTACATTTTTGAAAACGGTGTGAACTGACACCTGCATAATTTTTTGACCTGCAAACAAATCAAATAATTAAGTACATATGTATAAACTGAAGTCTTCTATTCTATTCGAGTTTTGTAAAACACTAACTTCTTTATCTCACTAGGCTATAATCTATCTTAATTAAAACCACTGGGCGGTACGACCAACATTCATAACTCGTAATATTTTGTGATAATCTTCCAAAGTACAGATGGGAACAAAAATCCTGTGCACCATCATGCGGAATAATATTTTAGACATTTTTTCTAAAATTGGAATACACGACAAATGATTCAAATGTATGTAATTTTTAAACCAAGCCAATTGGTTCAATTTTTTGTTGTTGGCTGTAAAATATCTTTATAAGTTTCCATGTCAAATAATTAGTACCTCCGGCATTGGTCCAAGAAAATCTGTCCGAGCCAGTGGTTCTTAACCTTTTTTTTCTCTCGTTACGCATTTAAGTTGCACCAAGGAAAAAGTACGAGAAAAACAAAAGTTCTTGCCGCGAAAATAGACACTTACTTTGAATAAAAACTACCACTCTGTAGCAAAAAACAGCAGGATAATTCATTGCTACTACAATCAAATTATTAATAGATTCCTAACCCACCTAAAAATATTCCTGTGGCCCATCAATGAGAGGGAGGCCCAGTTGAAGCAGATCCGATAAATGGGCGTTCCGCGTTACTATTATTTGATTGGCTGCGAAAAGCCAAACCTACGGACTGTCAACACAGCGGATTTCCTTGCGGATTGACCGAATCTGCATTTGAGTGTAGCAGTTCGCGGTGCAACACGTTTTGTTTAAACTGTACGGCATTCAGAATAGCGCAATGTTGTCTTCTGGAAGAAGGATAATATTTACCGGGTTAAAGCAACACAGGTGCGTAATTTTTAATATCAATACCGATACTTTGAGGCTTCCAAAAATTTGCTATAAAGGGCAGAAGGGAGAAGTGTTCCAGTGCTTCACTCCTGCACTCAGAGCGGGTCTCGTGTAGTTTCGTACCTAACGTACTTTTAGTAGGCGTAGCATAACAATTTTTTGACATGCCAATCCTAACCCTCACCTGACTACGTAGTTTCGTACCTAACGTACTTCTAGTGGGCGTAGCATAACAATTTTTTGATATGTCAATCCTAACCCCCATCTGATTATGCCATCCAAAAATTAAATCACTACGACATCACAATCACGTCATAGAGCTTGCCAAATATACGCACGATCGACCGAAATGGCATTGGTGCCGACGATAAAGAACTGACTGACGTTATCGGTCTCTCTCCTATTGGAATCGCTGCGACAAGAAAACGAGAGAACTAACTGTTTGATTTTGGGTTCTTGTATTCGCGTCTTGGATGACAGTTCGCATAGTTTGAAGGGCTCTATTACGTCACTGTGACGTTGTAGTGACGTAATTTTTGGATGGTGTGGTCAGGTGGGGGTTAGGATTAACACATGAGAAAATTGTTATGCTACGCCTACTAGAAGTACGTTAGGTACGAAACTACATGAGACCCGAACCTGACTACGCCATCCAAAAATTACGTCACTACGACGTCAAAATCACATCATAGAGCTTGCCAAATACTCGTACGATTCGGCGCCGACGATAGAGAACTGACTAACGTTAGCGATCTCTCTCCTATCGGGATCGTTGCGACTAGAAAACGAGAGAAATTGCTGTTCGATTTCGGGTTCTCGTTTGCGTGTCTTGGATGATAGTTCGCATAGTTTGAAGGACTTTATTACGGTTGATAGTCAGATAGTTACGGTAGCCACTGATACCGTACTTCATACAGTTGCTAAAGCTGAAGGACTGGCATTGTGTACTCAATTTATTACATTCTGGTAAAAGCTGTTAGGTCTCTAGGTATCGGCCGTTTTGGTACCTGTTGTACTTACTGAATTAAGCTGGTGCATCAACTTTTCTATATACAGACATTCACCGAAAGATATAAAAAATGTTATCCCATGGTCTTTTTCATGCATTTTTCAGCTGTTTGTGCTCTAGCAATTTTGTCAATTTCCTTGTACGAGTTCCTAAATTTAAATTATGTGCAGATAGATTAGATATCTCTGTATCTGCAGATTTTTTGTTGTTACAGAACAATTCCTGAGTTCTCATAGCTGCTGGTCTTTCTCCCGGAATTTATAACCAAACATGTTTTACTGTTTATTTCCAATTGATACTGATATAATTGAGTGTATAGTTCAATCCTTAAATAATGTTTGTACAGTAGTAGGGCAATACTTGACATTTTACTTTTTAATACAGCAATGGTCGATACAAAATATTTGCTAAGCATTTTATTCAAAATCTTTTCCTTTTTGAAAGGTTACAAATAACTGCGAGAAGTATATCAGTTCAGAATGAACCGATTTATGACTTTACTCCTGGATCAAAAGAAAGACAAGATGTTTTGGATGCTTTGAAATTAGTTGAATCTCGTGTTGAAGACATACCTATTGTTATTGGCGGTGAACATGTTAAAACAAACGACATTCATTATCAAGTCTCGGTAAGTTCGAATTGCACCAACTTTTGGGAATACACTTGCCATCGCACCTCACATTACTTTACATGAGTTGAATCCTGTAGGGGATGATTATATGTGAGAGGAGTTCTAGCTTCACCTCAAGGTGGTTCGTGTAACTGCTGCTTTTACAACTCCCACCATCTACTCGCTCAGGTTCGTGCAAATATCTGGCTAACTAATTCCATACCCAATATAGACTGGTAACTGGACGAGAGGCTGTGGTATGCCATATGATTAAATCCGTGAAATCCTAACCTATCCTTCTGGTTTGCACTCTAAAGAAAGCAGTGAAAAGATAACGAAGATAAAATCTATTGTTATGTCTGATTTTCACTTTGATGGGATTATTCATTATAAACTGTGCACACTTTTGTTTAATTTTTTTTATTTATGTTCAGCGAATCAGCGTTAGGTTAAGTAAATGTGTTGGATTCTTTCCGGATACATTTGCTTTATTTTCATATTTGACATAATTTTTTGTAATATCTAGATATACCATTATACCATATCTTGTCTATGTTTTTCTACAGCCTTATAACCACAAGCAAAAGATTGCAAAGTTTTGTTATGCTTCTTCTGACCTCATAAACAAAGCTATTGAAAACTGTCTTTCTGTTCGGGCTGAATGGGAAAGAAAACCAGTTGAAGATAGGGTTCAAATATTTTTGAAAGCAGCTGATAAAATTGCTGGAGAAAAAAGAGCAGAAGTGTTGGCTACTACAATGGCAGGACAGGTAACATGATTTATATTTAACAAAATTTTATAAGTCATAGAATTTAATACTTTTAAGCTTTTTCATAGAAATTTGCCCAAACCAAGATCACATGAACTAACGCACAAAAAAAAGAGATTTATCTCTGTGAGCGAAGTTATGGGCGGCGATCAAAGTTGCATGAGATACTGAGAGATAGATAAATAAATTGTTAAATTATGCATAATTACCAATTGACACGCGACTTAGTAAAGCAGTTCATGCCTATACAATCGGGAAACAGCTTTTAAGTAGTGAATCCCAGATAACTGAAGTTTTTGGAAAAAAACTTTGGTCATAAATGGTTTTTTGTCTGATAAGTACACTGACGATAAATGGGTGAGGGCTCACAGCCAACAGAGGTTATCCCTTGGAAATGTATAAACGAAGACACAAATACTGATTAATGTCAATTAGTTAATTAACATAACTCGAATTCTTCACTTTTATATTTGATTATAGATTAGCTATGAATTCATTTTCCAGGGTAAAAGTATCATACAAGCAGAGATTGATGCCGGTCCGGAGTTGGTGGATTTCTTCAGATTTAATGCAAAATATGCCCTGGATATGGTTCAAGAACAACCTATTAGTCCAAGTCCAGATGTATATACGAATACCACAGAATACAGGGGCCTTGAAGTAAGTAAAGTTAACATTCGAACAAACAAGATATGCAAATTGAGAAATCTTAAAACTGTTAAAAATGTTTTATGCTATCGTAGAGAAACAGGAGACAAACCGATACATTATTTGTATGAACAGAAAGCTGCTATGTTTGTTTATACTTGAGTCTTGATCTATTTATGGTTCTTGAAAACTAATGTAAGGTTTCCAAATTCTTCTTTTATGGGTTATGTTTATTCGAAACGAGGAGATACTGCTTTTGAAGTGAACAGAATATATCTAGTACTAGTTCGACATTGCATGAACGTTTCAAATTTTTGATGCTACTATAATAGTAAGGACCTATGTCTCATAATCATGCTTGTTTTATCCTACAGGGATTTGTTGCTGCTATATCACCTTTCAACTTCACAGCAATTGGGGGAAACTTAGCTGGAAGTCCTGCAATGATGGTAAATATACTTTCACTGTTTTAATGCGAGCCAAGAGATAAGAAAAATTCATATCTTCTTTGTCATTTCTTTCTTGGACAATGATCTGATGCATCTGTAAACGTATCAAAAAGAGAAAGAGCTCATTTGGCGCGTAACTAAGTAAACAATGAGTAAAATAAAATCTATAAAAATAGAGCCTACTTGAAGAAGAGAAGTATCATAATTTTTCTGACTCTTGGGTGGTAATACCGAAAAAATCCTCATTTAAAGTGAAGTGTGCTTATTAGCCAGAAAATAGGTCTTATTGCTATTGAATTTAAAATGTTCCCTTATTGTCCTAGAATATATTCTTACTTTCAATCTTCCTTTTAGGGAAACGTTGTACTGTGGAAACCAAGTGACACAGCTATGTTGTCAAACTGGACTGTTTACAAAATATTAGAAGAGTGTGGACTACCTCCTGGTGTTATACAGTTCTTGCCTGCTGATGGACCAATCTTTGGTGACACAATTACGGCTTCTGAGCATCTCGCTGGCATGAATTTTACAGGGAGTGTCCCGTGAGTTATACACTATTTTTGTAAACAGAATTATCATAATCGTAAAATGTCAAATATAGGCGAGAAGCGTTTACGAGGTGTGGCTTTTGCTACAATGAGTAATGTGTTTGTGTTAATATCTCGCTGGTATAAACTTTACAGGAAATGTCCCGTGAGTTACACACAATGTTCATAAACAGAATTATCGTGATCATCAAATGTAAAAATATAGGCGAGAAGCATTTATGACATATGTTTTGAATCAATTTTAGATTTTACACATTCAGAGTACTAAGCATTTCTATATAGTTTTAGTAGTCTTGGCACTTTTGTGATCGAAAGCATAATATGACCCCGTTTTGAGCATTTTTTCTTGTTAAGGTAGAACATAATGAATCAGTGGTTATGCCTTCAGAATTATTTTTGGTACCCATTTCTTCTGCTTTTGAGAAGGACGCCATTTTTATGTCCTTATATTCAAGCATTGTTCTATTTCTATAATGTTACTCGTTAAAGTATCAGATAGAGCACAAAATTCAGGACTTTGTAACAATTGCACAAAAATGCCCTAGGAACTAGATACATTAGCTAGATACATGTATATTCAAGAATATTATTTATTGTTGAATGTTCTTTCAGGACATTCAGTCGTTTGTGGAAGCAAGTTGGAGAAAATCTTCACAAATACAGAACATTTCCAAGGCTGGGAGGTGAATGTGGAGGAAAAAATTTCCATTTCATAAAATCTGGAGATCTTGAAAAGTGAGCTTTTTTTCTATTCTAGTCAAATCATGATAATAATGCATAACTTAATAAGCACTTTGACTGTGGTTGCTACCGTTCCACAGACTATTCATATTCATTTCTATGTTAATTGGATAATTTTTTCATCTTTAACCCTTTCCATGCGTTTTTTTTTTATTTATTAAATAATCGTATTTGCTACGCCGATTTTATGCATTTGTACCCCCACAACCAATCGATTGACTAACGAAAAACTAATGATCCTCTGCTGCCCACTGACGGCTCGTTGGAAAGCTTATTTAAAGAGCTTGCAATTGGCGTTTAAAAAAAAGAAGTTTTCTTAAAAGCGGTGGTCTGAGTCACAAACCGGATAGAAAAAAGGCATTTTTTTTTTCTTGGGAGTTGAAACTTCAAAAAAAATAGAAATAGTCGCTAAATCCTTTACTGTTACTGCTTCGTGGTTGGCAAACAACAGCATAATATTGCTGTAGCAATTTCGAGATCTAACTCAAAATACTTTGGTAGATGGAAGGGATAATATGTCTTCTATTACCACCCAAAAAACACCGAAATTTGCATAAATTTCAAAAACACTCCCTCGTTCCGCCACAAATAAAATTCCCGTCGTAAACGAAAGCGAGATTTACTGTCGCTTATGTTAATCTCGAAGACGACTTCTTATCAATAAACTAAAACCCGGAAAAACTAGACCAACAGTTTGCGACCGATTGCTAAATAAAACAGTGGAGTACATTAACGTACCCGCCGCAATCTAGCGACTTTTGTCGTTGGTACGTATACGTGCCCACCGGACGGAAAGGGTTAATGAGGTATTACATATACTAGGCTATGTTAATATGTATATTAGCTAATCTAAAAGTGAGTTATGTCAATTATCCATTGGTATATGTATGTAGACTTCTTACTCTAAATTTCATTTCAGCATTGTCAATGGAACTATCCGTTCAGCTTTTGAATACAGTGGTCAAAAATGTTCTGCATGTTCTCGGGCCTATATTGCTGAATCTATGTGGCCAAAAGTAAAAGAAGCTCTTGTTGAGGCACAGAAGAAATTAAAAATAGGGAATGTAAGTTGTTCTGAATATGTTAGATCAGGAGTTCTCAAACTTTTTAAGCCGCACCCTATTTCTAGAATTGTCAAGTCTCGCGCCCCAACTTAAAAATAACTAGCTGACAATAAACTACAAATAGCGGATAGTAAGGCGAAAGTATGTTTTATTCAAAAATCATGTTGAAAATATGTGGATGGAACGTAAATATCCAAAATAAAGAAATGTGAAGATCCAAAACAAGGCGGGACAGATCAAATCTAAGTAATATGCTTATTCTTAATTGGCTTCACGCCTTCCTTGTAGGGGAACGCCCAATTGTTGATTGTATTGACCAGATGTAACTAAATTAAATCTTCGTGTTGAAATTATTGCCCTTGTCCTCCGCCTAACTACTGTAATGTATTTTTAAAATCTCTCCCAAGTTTCAATAAGCATAATCACTGTCTCCAATGCTCGCAGCACACTGTCTTTGGAGATTTCACAGTTTGCCTGCAAAGCCGTGAATTTCGCATTGTTGCGACACAATCACAACAACGCAAGATTAGGGAAAATATACGTTCCAATTGGCATCTAGTTTCAATGGGCACCCATTTTCCTCTTGTAGTAATGTAGGATATTGAAAAACAGCAACACGAAAAAACTCGACTGTCATCCAAGTACCCCTGGAAATCTTCTCAGGAACCCCTGGGGGTTCGCGAACCCCTGGGCTAGACCCAGGAATTAAAATAGAGTTATCATGAAATCTTGACCTGTTTATATGTTTGCTAAAATTGGATAAAATAACATCCTTTATGCATGGAAAATTCTTTGTTTTTACTTATCGATCTTGATCGGTAAGTATGTTGATAGGTATTTGTCTGTCTGTGTGTTAGATGCACGCGATATCTCATGAAAGCGAGGTTCAATCTGCTCCAAATTTGGCATGTGCATTCATCTTAGCTCGGATCAGAAGCCCATTGATTTTGGATGGATTATGTCGTATAATTAGCGAGTTATTAATTAATTAGTGATGGGACACACGGTGTCACTATGGAGTAAGACCACTGTTTTGGGGGATCCCCTAACCTTCGATGGATAAGTCGATAAGTCTTCGGTTTCCAACCGAATTCTAGTTTTGTTTTTCTGTTCTTACAGCCATCAGATCTCAGTGTTTTCAGCTCAGCCGTGATCGATGGAAACTCGTTTGAGAGAATTCGTTCTTATCTTGAGCACGCTCATCAATCACCTGATATTGAAGTATTAGCAGGCGGAACTTGTGACGATTCAAAAGGTTATTTTGTGCAACCTACAATTCTTCTGTCTAAAAATCCAGATGAAAAACTCATGAAAGAGGTTCGTTTTCAATAATACTTAGAAATTTCATTCATATCCAATGGCCGTGTTCAAGATTTTAATAACATTTCTCCTCTGTATGAAACTCTCTAACAACTGATCAAGGATTTCTTATTTAAATCAAGACCTTTTGTACCTTATGCAGTGGTGTGCAACCGCTATACTGGGCTATAATTGGCGCGGTGGTGGGACTCATCGTGCTAAGGGTTAGGAATAAGCTCACCACCACACCTCTAATTACTCTGCGTGGGTTCTCAGGTTCGAATACCATGCAGGGATGGTTATGTGCGAGAGGACGCCGTAGGGTGGTTCACGTAACCGCTGGTCGGTTACGGCATCCTCCACCATCGAGTCCATGCATCCGAAAACAACTAATCCCATACCCAACATGGAATGTTAACCGGACGAGAGGCCATGGAACGCCACATGGTTAAACCGTCTTATCGGCTTCCTCTCCCCCGGGATGAATATGTAAAATCCTATCCTATCATCAGGCTGAAAACATATATGTAATGTTAGACACAATATTTGCTGGACACTAATATATAAAATGTCAGGTGGAAGTAAATCGGCCTTTCTGTATGTTCGAGGAACAAGGTGGAGAGTAAAATCAATTATAAAAAAAACCTGCTTGCATACTTGAACGAAACATTTCATTTCTATATATCTCATCCAAATTTCATTATTAACAGGAAATTTTTGGGCCTGTTCTCACATGTTATGTTTACAAAGACTCCGATTACAAAGATGTTTTAAAGTTAATTGATAGTACTTCACCATATGCTCTAACCGGATCTATATTTTGCGACGATGAGTAAGTCCACTTTCTACTTTGTTAGTAGATTTAAATATTGGAAGTTTTGTATAAGAGACTCGTACATCATTAGCACCAGTTTCCTACACTGGGAAAAATATTTTGATCATAAAAACTGACATGTGCAAGCCTTGTTTAATTGCCTAATGAATTCTTCAACCTGAAGCTTTTTTATTTTTTGTCAGAAATTCTCATTTTGAATCATAATTAGAAGTTTGAAATTTCAGTCTGCTATATCAATAACACCCAGCCGCTATTGCTATATTTATCAGTCTGTCGTAATAGTTAGATCTGGCATTTTATAACGGTTCCCTGGAAGATTTTGAATGTTGAGAAAAGTAATTATGTGTGACTCTTGTACTTTCTAGCTGTCAGACCCATGACAATAAACAACTAACAACTACCATATATATTTTCAGAACTGTTATTGATGAGGCAAAAGAAGTGTTGCGTAATGCTACTGGAAACTTGTATATAAATGATAAATCAACAGGATCCGTCGTTGCACAGCAATGGTTCGGGGGAGCGAGGAAATCTGGCACCAATGACAAGCCCGGTGGTCCATATTATCTTGTCAAATGGGTGTCACCTGTTGTTGTGAAACGAACCTTTCAACCATTGAAAGATTGGTCTTATCCATCCATGGTGGCCGGAAGATAATGAATTAACGTTGTTTCAATATAATTGTACCGTTATCAATCCAACTTCCGAAGAGCAATATTTATTCAATATAAAAGTTTCAGATTTTATTCTTTCTAATGAAATTATAGAAGCTATGTCAACAAAAGTTCCCTATTATCTTTGTGAATGTTTGGTGTATTTTTTTCAATGGGCTCCATGGATAATGAGCTTGCAATCGTTGGGCCACTTGCCATGGGTCCCAACTGAGTGTATATAAGACCATTTGGAGAAACTAAACCAATCCTTGAACAAACTTGACATGACCGAAATATCGCATCATTCTTGACAAAGATCTTGTAATCAACTGAAAATTCTCCAATAGAGAATCAAGGTAATGAAAAGTGGATTCTATAATCTGACTCAAAATATGTAGCAATGAAGTCTGTGTCTGAATGGTTTTACCTATGTATTTGTTGTTTAATATTGTTAGAGTTATGTAAATTTGTATCTTGTAACAAAACTCTGTGTCCTTGTGGGAAGGTGTCTAAATTTTCACCACATTGCTTGATGTCCAGACTGATCAACTGCTAAGTGTCAAATAGATTTTTTTTCAATAAATAACTCCTATTATTGTAATTAGTTGTGATACAAATACAGGTTCTCAGAAGTACATATTCGAATAAAGACAACTCGATTCACGGTTTTGGGTCACAGACTCACAAGTAAGTTTTAACCCCATGTCCACCACTTGCAATAAGAGTAGAACATTTTCTAAGGTAAATGATATAACATCTCCGTTAGTGTTTGTGGTTCGGCGGATGTCTTATCCAGATTGATCTCCTTGGGGAACCCACTTGAAAAACACACCCTATCTTGCTCACAAGTAGCAACTTAGAATCGAGATTGGTTGTGCTAGGTCATCGTTTCCCAACCTTTTTTGGTCGCGGACTAATTTCTCACCGGCGAAAACCTTTGCGGACTCAAGGTGGGTTTATTGCAACCATATTCTGTGTGAAGAAGCGAACGAATTTGAAAATCGGAATTTCACCGCAATTACGCGTCCGTAAAAAGAGTCGATTTTTTTAGTGTATAATGGCCTTTTCTGTCACACTATATTCAATTCTTAAAATGTTTTTCTATTTTAATGCCACAGCAATCTGCTAACATATTACCCGATTAGTTTTGATACATATTCTTAGATATATTGCAAATTTGTTATCGTCGTTAGAAAAACCTACTATCTGCTATAAATTTCCAGAAAGTACAACTTGATTTAGTACTTATTAAAAAATATATTTAAAGTATATTAATTTAATGGTGATCATTTTAATCTGCGGTTGTGTTGACAAAATAAAAGCAATACTAATCAGAAAATACCATAACAATCTGTGGACACAAAAATGTGTGATAATGTGCCCGATTATATTTTGTTTTAATTCGTATTTTTGTGAATTCAACAAATCTGAGCTGTTCGTACAACACTTACAGCTCTCCAGTACTGTACGTACCAATGTGGAGGCATAAGGGAAAATGCCCTGGTACATATACTAAAGTATCACCCGAAATTCTGCGATGTCTAAAGAAGCGTTTTTAATCGGTCGCGTACAATCATAAAACAAAAGTTATCTTGTTCTCCGTTTTATTTTCAGTTTTTTTGTATTGCCGCTTTTTATTTCAGAAAATCTGGGTTGCCACCATTGACACCTACTAAGTGAGTTGTGAAATCCAATCGTTTTGACCTGTCGCGTCACCTGTTACCAAATTTTCGAAAAGTGAATTGCTATTCTAATAGTTGAATATCGAATATATGCCCAGCCATACTCAGTAACTAGTAATAATTGACTTGATTAATGTTATGTGGATAAACTTGCTTTTTATGTTTTATGTGAATTTTAACATAAATCGTTACTTGGCTGATAGTTAACTTTTGCAAAAAAAACGTTTGCGGCCCGCAGTGAATTTCTGGCTCGTTGCGGACTCATTCAAATGCCATTGCGGACTCGGGTTGGGAAACACTATGCTAGGTTTAAAGTTTTGTAGTTGATATCAAATCGTCCATGTTTGCCCGAAGTTACCACCAGGGTTATGGTGTCAAGGGAAAAATTATATTCAAATCCAGTTTAAAAAAAATCTGAATTTAGGATTTTCAAAATTTTGCAAACCTCATTCAATATACGGTTAAGCATGCTTAGCTAAAGGTTCGGCCCGCGGTTTCACCCAGCAGTTTGAACCTCCAATGAAAGCATGACTGTATAGCTCTGCCTATGGACAATTTTCAGACCTTGCCACGTTTGGTTCAGTTTCTAATAAAGATCAAAAAAGGTAATAAAGACCAATTGCCTGCTTTAAAATGATGTCAAATACATGAATCAATAATTGAAATATAGTAATTCTGTGAACAGTTTCCTGGAAGCCTTTGCTAAAGTATAACCACTTTTTATAATTTGAAAGCTTTTTTAAAAAAAATTCATAAATAGATCATTCAATAACAACAGTTCCACCTGCCTCCGTTAATGTTTTTGATAATTCCTCAGCTTCTGTTTTTGGTATTTCTTGTCGTACAATTTGTGGTACACTTTCCACAAATCCTTTCGCTTTTACAAGATTGAGGTTTGGCATTAAAAGTTTAATTGCTTTGATTAATTTAACTTTTGAATCTGGTTTGAAAGCAGTAAGTTTGACTGTGAACTCAGTTTGTTCTTTCGAAGCTGGAGCTTCATCTTCCGCTTGAGCAGCACTGGCACCGGGAGCAATACCTCCACCAACCATCATTGGAATATCACTGATATTCAATTTGATTTTTAAGAGTTCGTTTAATTCCGATACTTCTATGAGTGTAAGATTTGAGATTTCATCGACTATTTTCACAATTTTTGGTGGAAATTCTTTACTTCCTTCTAGCGGTGGTGGTGGGATTTTCTCGATCTCTTGAGCTGCTGCTGTAGACATTGCATCTTTACCTCTGCGCACGATACCATTGCATTTCAGCAATCGATCAGTTCTAAAAAGTATTCTTGTTTGTCTAATTGCAAACATATTGTTCACTATTTATGGCAATTGCTTGCTGAAATGATAGATTATTATTACGAAAATACTATTAATTCAGTAATTAGACTACTAATATTTTTTTTTATACGAACTACCATCCAAGACAAGCACCCGAAATAGAACAGCTATTTCTCGCCGATAGGAGAGAGATCGATGACGTCAGTCAGTTCCTTATCGTCGGCGCCAATGCCATTTCGGGCGATCATATGTATATTTGGCAAGCTCTATGACGTGATTGTGATGTCGTAGTGACGTAATTTTTGGATGGCGTAGTCAGGTGGGGGTTAGGATTGACAGGTGAAAAAATTGATATGCTACGCCTAGTAGACTAGAAGTAGGTTAGGTACGAAACTGCACGAGACCCCAGCAATTGACAAGATTAACCAAAAGCAAAAAGTGATCACGATAATAATCCGGTTTTGTCAATGAAAATTTCTTTCTGCATTTACTGCCTTGAGATTGACAAAACAAATCTACAGTGAACTAGCAGAAAGCTATTACTGATTAGTAATTAACGAAAAGAGAAAGGGGGAGAACTTTGCGTACCCTATTAAAATCAATAGAATTTTCAAAATACTTGAGAATTGTGATGCTAATTCCATTTTGCTTAAAACTGTCAACAATTTTTTTTTCACAACTCAAGCTAGTCAATTAACAGGAAAGCAGAATATCGCAAGTTTTCGAATGAGAAAGTCGTCCACACTGCGAGAGGCATCTCTACATAAAGCAGATTTCCCTATCCCTCATTAAATTTATTACATTTTTTTATTTCTTTAGAGAACTAATTGAGAAACGAGCGCCTACTGTACCTGTTTATGAAACCTATCCAAACCTTAGAAATAACCGAAGTGACAGTCACTTTGGAAATAATCGTACCGAAAGTAAGGCGCGATGCAGCATGGGTGGCACTGGCGCCGGTGGCAACTTTTGTGGCTTCAGTTAGATAGACGTCACATAAAATACTGAAAAATTATACAGGTGATAAAAAAACACGTAACATTTGGGTTGGATCAATTTTGTCATACGTAAATTTATTTTTATAGAATTTAAAATGCCAAAATTGAATATCAACTATATCGCGGAGGTGTCGTATTAAACCCAAAAAAATAAAATTTATTCATACCACCGTACATATTCAGTATAATAATAGGCGTGAAAATGTTTATAAATGTCCTCTTGGAATTCAAAATTAATTTCGAAATTGAAATGAGAATTTTAAGTCAAAATACCTTGATTACATGGTCAGAATTTTCTAGGGATCCCAATTTTATGTTAAAACGTTTTTATGCCACCATATGATTTGTTTCAAATTTGCTCGTCATGGTTTTGAACGCTGACTCATGTTTATTTTCCATGTAATATTCGGAGTTGCTGGTGCTGACACTAGTGCACGATTGTTTGTGCGTTCACTTCAGATAACTGTAGTTGAGTTGAAATTAAGTTTGAAAAACGAATGGCTCCTGTAACCTCTAAAGAAACACCAGCGGAGAAACCTACCAATGAAAAAGACAAAGTAGAAAAGAAAGAGGAAAAAGAACCTGAGTTGGTTAGTCATATTCTAGCCTACCGGTATCTTTTTCAGTTGTAATCACTGGCTTTCATGTAACTTACTTTAGCATTCGAATATTTTTCTGCTCTTTGCTGAGGTAAGGCTTTTGATAAAGAATATAGGCTATGGTTATACATTGATCAATGCGCATCTAGAAGAATTTGAGGATCCTTGGCTCGGCGGTGTGAAATCAGGTTTTTCAAAAATTATATAAATAAGAAATCAAGGATGTAAAAATATTTAGCTAATGAGAAAATTGAAGTTAAAACATCCCCTCCTTCACACGCCTGAACACGGAGAAACGAAACCTCAAGAATGGTTAAAAAATAAATTACTTCATCCTTTTTTTTTCATTATTTTTGCTTTAGACTATATAAATTTACACATTCGGTTGGTTGACTTTTATCAATATTATAACTTTTTTAATTTAGACTGATGAAGACAAACAACTACTAGATGAATTGAATCTATGTGTGGAAAGATTGAAGGTTTGAATTTAAAAATAGTCTTTTTTAACTAATTGTGTTGTCTGTATGTGTAATGCTGTATGATAAGACAATCCACTTTCA